TGAAGCACATGAAGAACTCATTTCTCTCCAAAAAAAAATTTTTTTTTAACCAATGTTCTTTATATGTGGCTTCACAGCCCCCTCACTGGCCATTGCAGCAAGGTTTTCCCAGAGGGGATGTTCCTGGCTGCCTCAGTCACCATGGTCCCTTTCATTCCGTCTTCCCAAAGGACCCTTCAACTCAGTCCTCTACTCCCTTCTGCCTTGTCTTCTCGCCTGACTCCTGAGATGGTGGCCCTTCTCTCAGCTTGAGGGTGACTTTCTGTGGACAGAATGGTTTCCATGTCACCCAAGAACCTCTTCGCTATCTTATTTCTCAAATTTGTTTTCTGGAGACCCCCTTGGGATTTTTTTTTCCTTTCTTTCTTTTGTCCAGAAGGGACAGAGAGCTGTAGCACCTTTTCAACCTCTCTCATGTGTTTGCATGATTGTGGGTGCACAGCTTGGTTTTCACCATCATTCCAGCCTCTTTGGTGCTTCCACCTACCTCCCATGCTCCTAGAGCAAGGTTGATCACCAAGTGCAGCTGTCAGCAGGGACAGGATTCCACAGAAGCAGGGCAGGGTGTTAGAGAGGTGAGACACTTTAGAAAATCTAGCACAGGCATTTCTCATCACAGAAATTCAGTCAACACTGATCTTCACTAAGCCCTTGTGTGCTTGATTTCAGTTCTCAGTAGCCCAGGATAAGTCAGCCCACTACTGTCAACTTCAGAACTAGAGGTTCCACAGTGGTGAGATGGATAGATGTGATGAATGTGGTAGAACTTAACTGAATCTCAGAAACCATGGCATGATGGCTCCAGCCAGCTGCTTCTCTGAAATCATTGAATGAATAATCCTGTGGTCTTAGAATATATGCAAACCAAGGTGCCCTAGAACACACCACATTTTCACTCTTCATGAAAAGGCCAATCCTTAGTGCTTTTCTAACAGAAGACTTAAGGGGTTGCAGACCAAGTGTCTACTTTATTTTGCAGGGCAGCTTATGTGGTTTGAGTGTTCCTTAGGAAAAAGCAAATGTCTAAAGCATTCTTTCAAGAGCCCAGGGTGACCAAGGAAAGGCTCCTGGGAGTTCGTTGTTGAGATGGATCTTGAAGGGTTGATTATCACATAGATGACTGCAGAGGGAAGTTAAAGCTTTGCGGGCCCATGGGAGCTGTAAAGCTTTTCAGGAGGGGAAGAGCTGGAGTCCCCAAGCAACCAGTTGTACTGACTTCAGGGTGGTCCTGGCTACTTCCTGGTGACATGACACTGTCAAGAGGCTGCATGCTGAGGCCACCTGTCCCCATATGTGCTACACAATTGATGTAGAAATTGCAATAAATACCTTCCTGTGTTTATACAAATTAATGGGATTTGGGAACTTGGGTTTTATAAGAGCCGCCTCAGAAGCTTGGAGGACTTGATACCTAGTTGCTTATTGACTTTGTAACAGGCAAGAGCTCAAGGAAGCCTGGCCTTGCCAAATCAAGTGAGAAGGGGGGCCTGGTGTGTGTGTGTGTGTGTGTGTGTGTGTGTGTTTTCCAGAATGCAGCTTACCTTGGTAACTTACTGAAGAAAAGTCTCCTTCACTTCAGTGATAATAGATGGTATAGTTGTAGTCTTTTTCCTCCAAAGAACCTAGAATATATACAGCTCTAAGAAAATCCATAAAAGATCCAGAAGGGAGTTAAAAATGATTCTCACCAGACTCTAAGTTTTATAAATGTAGAATTTCTGTAAGCAGGAACGAGCACTTGGGATTTCCCCATATTTCCGAGCAAAGAAGGGGCTTCTCTTTGCTGAGACTAAACAGCTGACGAATCAACACAGCTGACAAATTAATGTAGGAGAGAAAGGGTTTCTTCTGGCTCTCAGTTGGAGGATACAGACCATCAGAGTAGGGGACACATGTCACCAGAATCAGCTCACAGCCGTGGTGGCAAGAAAGAGGTGGTTTGCTTTTATTTGGGTGAATTGGGAAATAGAGACCCAACAGAAAGTGAAGCCTTTATTCTTTCTTCCTCTGCTTTTGACTATGCATCTGACCTGCTGTCTCAAGTTCTTGCCTTGACAAACCTGAAATGATGGACTGTCCTGAAACTGTAAGCCAAATTAAACACCTTCTCCTCTAAGTTTGCTTTTGTCAGGATATTTTATGACAACAAAAGCGAAACTAAAACACCGCTCAAGGCAGATGGAGTCTTTCTACCTGAGTGACCTTGGAGCCACTCCAGGGAGGTGTGCCCTCTGCCTTCTGCCTCTCTCTTCTGGCCAAGGGGCCCCAGAACATATCCCACTTATCAGAAGGGCTTGGTGATATTAAGCAGATTCAAAATCTATAGCAACCACCTCCCCCACTGTCAGAGTGAGCCCACCAGCCTTGAGCCTTCTTGGACATAGACTTGCTTGTTTTGTACCCATTGAGGACTGCTGGGTCCAGGATCCCACCTCCTGCTCTCACAGCTAGCTAAAAGCAGTTTAGAAAACTGGAAGTGTCAGGTGGCTCACAGTTCCTTTTGTTCCCTCTTGGAAATAGAACCAAAGCTTAATTGTGGTATCAGGTGCTCTGAAGAAACAGACCGAGGAGAAAATGAACATACAGGCAATTTGAGATTATGAAAAGTCTTACAAATACAGTTTATAATCTTTTTAACCCCCCAGGACATTGTGCCTGTGTCTATCTACACTGGCTCCACCCTGGCCTCCTGTAGCTCCTAAAGAATGCTAATCGGTTTGAGACTCTGCTTAAGGCTTTCTCTCTCTCTCTCTCTCTCTCTCTCTCTCTCTCTCTCTCTCTCTCTCTCTTTCTCTCATATTTGACCAGGATCCAAACAAACCTAGCTGGAACTCAGTTCACTTTGGGAAGGTCCTGGAGCCTGTCTGGGGTGGAGGCTAGGGTGGGGCACCAGGAGGACCTGTGCCTCATTGCATCATGTGTGGATGTCTTCTCACAGTCCCCACCTTTCTGAACCCTGAAGTCTTTCTCCTCTTAAGCACCATGACATGGAGCAGGGTGGATAAAAACATTACAAACTGCACTTGTAATCATGAAAATATCATAGTCTTTTCTTTAATGACTGATAGGACAGGATGCAGGCTTATCTACCAAGATGTATTCCACACTGTGAACCAGTGACTAGGTTTTATTGTCCAGAAGGGAAGACATTCCTTAATAGCCCTGTTTCCCTTATGGAAGCCTTTCTCCTTATGCTGAGTGAAGGCAGTAAACTGATTGTCTAGACGTTCCAGAGAGCATGACAGCTGCACAGATATAACCCCTTGTGATAGCACTCTAAGAGAGCTAATTGAATCATACCCTTGGCTAAAGTAAGGCTGAGAGTCTTGTGTCTTGTGGGCATTCCAAAGTCACTGCTTTTTCAGGTATTGTAAATGGTAGAAAGTATTTTTAAATATACCATGTTAAAGATATTATTAAAGATAAAGATTATAAATGTGTGTATAATGTATATATATCACACACACACACACACACACAGAGTTCTACTTGTATTTTTATTGTTGTAATAAACTATCCTGACAAAAAGCAACTTAAGGGAGAACAGGGTTTATTCTACCTTACAGTTCATCACTATGGGGAAATCAAAGCAGGAATTTCAAACAGCTACTCATATCACAGCTTGTTTGTTTGTCTGTGCTCACTTGGATTTCTCCGCTCCCATACAATTCAGAATCCCCTTCGTAGGGAATGGTGTTACCTGCAGTGGACTGGGTCTTCCCACATCAGTCAGTTAACATAATTAGTACAACCCACCACAGACAAGCCCAAAGGCTAACCCAATATAAACAGTCTCTCATTGAGTCTTTCTTCCCAGGTGATACTAACTTTTGTCCAGTTGATAATTGAAGGTAACCATTACATGTACTTAAACTTAAAAAAAAAAAAAGAAAGACCCACAGAAGACAATGTCATGGTTTCATGCCTACTCTAGTGTACTTTTTTTTTAGTCAAAGGGCACTAGCATATGTAATTTGTCCTATGACTTCTCTAGGCTTTAGAGGGTCTAAGAGAGCCTTCGTATGACAAAGGTAGAATCTCTGAGTCTCCTTGCAGGAGCCAGGCCTTCCTTTTCAGAATATTCTAGGGGTGCTTGGGAGGTCTCCCTGTCTTTAGAACCCTCTGAACTTAGTGTAGGGGTTTTCCCTTGTGCAGTGGTCTCACACTTGTCACCTCACCAAGACGTGACTTTTTCCTGCTAAAAGAAGTGTTTGGTGGGGCAGCTCTCTGTGCAGTGGTTCATGTGCTATGATAAAATATCTCATCAAGAGGTGATATAAGGGAGGAAAGGGCATATTAAGGCTTACAATTCCAAATCTCAGTCTATTATTGGGGGAAGCCAAAGTCAAGAGCAGACAGAGAATAAATTCAGAGACGCTTGCTTGCTTGTGTGTACGGTGCTTAGCTTGATTTTTTTCTATTTTTTAAAAAGATGTGTTTTTATTGTACACACATGAGTGTCTATCTGTACATGTGCACCACATGTATGCATGGTGCCCACCGAGACCAGAAGAAAGTATCAGATCCCTTGACATTGGAGTTACAAACAGCTGTGAGCCACCATGTGCATGCTGGGAGCTGAATCTGAGTCCTCAACAAGAGCAGCCTGTGCTCTTCACATGTTCAGGGCCCAGCCATGAAATGATCCCAGCCTCCTTCAGTATGGGCCTTCCTACTTCAATCAGCAATCAAGCCAGCCCCTTCACAGACATGTCCACAGGCCAGCCTCATCTCCATAATTCCTCTTGAAGACCTTCTTCCTCAGTGATTCTAGATTGTGTCAAGTTCACAACTAAAGATTCTAATATTGTGCTTTCACTCTGTTTAACTATTGCCAAGACCAGCTACTGCCTGGCCAATGGAAACCCACAATATTTGTCTCACCGTATAGCTTGGAGGGTTAACAACCACAGAGAGTGCTCTGGCTGTCCCCCAGGGTTGTTCCATACATTGTGCTCTTCTGAATCTCTTGAAACTAATCCTCTTTCTGTTTCTTCCAGATAACTTGTTCAAACCCAAAGAAAGATGCATTTCAGAGAGGGAGATGCATATGAGATCTAAAAGGTACCTGGCTGTTGTGGGAAGTGTGGAACAATCTGGGGAGGGGGTTGGGAGGCTTGAAGGACCCAGAGGCTGTCCCCCGGGCCAGGGCTTCGAGACCTATATTTAAGGGCTGGGTCTGCTTGGCTGCTGATCTGAAAACCTGGCTGAGGTGAGCAAAGTTGTCGAATTGTGCCTCAGAATGTTTATGCTGATTTTGGACCAACCTTAGGAAAGTGGTGGGTCTTGGATTCAGGAGCGGGCCCATAATTGGTCCCTAAGTGATCCGCAGATTCTGAACTGGAACTCTTCAGTGCATTTGCCTCGTGGCTCTGGGCAGGAGCCATGTGCGGCTGCACCTTTGAAAGTAATTTTACGAGGAGGAGAGAACCCCTTTTTTTTCTGGAGAACCTTGACTGTGGCGGTCCTGGGGAAAAGCTTCCAAGCTGGAAGCCAGCAGAGCATGAGAGCCAGAGGGACCTCGGAGGGGCCACAAAGTGGCTTTTCTGGCAAGTCTGTCTCTGGCAGTCTTGGCAGGGGCCGCCAGGGTTCTCCCTGCTTTGCCTGGCCAGTCACCATTCAAGACTCCCACTAACTCTTAGCACCCTGGGGTACACAAAGGCTGCCATTCTTCCCTGGGATCTGGCTTCTTAACCAGAACACAAAAGCTCAGCCGGTCAGCCATGTTCACACACATAAAATGTCATTAAGCAGTAATAAAGTACCTAGCCCTGGGAGAGATTATAGTAATTAAATCTAATTGATAGTGCACTCAGAGACACCAACGAAATAGGAAGAATAATTTTGCCCCCACTCCGGACCCTAAATCTCTGCTTTTACTGTGATTATGTTGTTTCCAGGATAATTAAGTAACTTTGGTTACCTACAGGGAACCTCTTTGAAAGTAAGAAAATAAGAAATGGGGGCACACCATTAATGACATGACTCCCAGCATTCTAACCCGGCTTATAAATGGCCCCAGCATTTGAAGACTTGCTGTTTGATAAGTGAAAAGTTGTATATACCTTGCAATAAAAGTGTTCTCTTCAATTTAGTGGGAACCCCCATCAACACCAACAACAAAACCTTTCCTTATTGGTCCCCAAATCTAAAACTGCTATTATAAGACCTTGTCAACCAAGCAATTTAAATAATGGACCTCAAAGAAGTGATAACAGAGTACTGTCCTGGCAAGTCTCTAAAGGAGAAGCTGATGTTTGAGGAGGACCAGTAAGCTAGGTGAAGCTGGATTCACAGCCTATAGTTGCCCTTAACTGGTCTTTTCAGGGGGACCAAACAATTGGATCTCTTTGCTCTGTGGAACATACCTGTCTGGGCTCTGACCACAGCTTTCCACAGTCACCTGAAACTGCTTTTTCTTTGTGTCACTTGGTCATGGATTATTTTGGTTATATTTTTATTCAAATCAAGCAATAGAGGTAAAGCTGAAGTTCCTTCAAGACCAATTAGCCAGCTCTCCTTTGCTCAGCCCCAGACCTATCTGTTAGACTGCTGATAGTTGGTCTCCTTTCTCTTCCCCTTAAAAGCCTCCTGTTGGTACATTATGCAGGCACCTGGTCTTCAACCATGCAGTGTTATGCTATGTGTGCCTTTTCTTCTGTATCTCACCATTTCCTGGCATCATCTGTGAACTTTCCCAAGATGTAGATTTCTGTCCTTGTTTTTGACTGCCTGTGCAGTATCTTTGTGGGGGCAAACTATTATATATCAGGGGATCTTGTCTGAGGAAACAGTGCAGGGTCAGAGGCAGAACATGGAAGCTTTTGTTTCAACTTCCCAGTTGAGTTGGGAGATCAGCTCCAGGAAAGATGGTCTCTGGATCTCAGAAACGGCCCACTCAAGGGCTGTGGGACCAGTTCCCTTGTGGTCTTCTCTCTTGTTTCTTGTTCCAATCACTCTCTAGTGAAGCAAAGATATATTTCCTTATCACACATTTATATAACCCTCATTAACACCCACAGTGTGCTGCTGGGTTCTGTCAGAGCACACAGGCCACTGCAGGATTCCGTGAGTCGCTCTATGTACAGTGCTTCACAGTAAGAAAGAAGCTTTCAGCTTGAGGTCTCAATGCCTGCCCACCATTGGCCAACTGAGGGGCTCTACCCAAATCTCTTCATCTTGCCAGGACTCATGTTTTTTGTTGTATGACAAGTCCCTGTAGATTCTTCTTCCAGCTATCATTGAATGTGACTAGTCTGATGCTCAGTAACCAAGATGTCACCTACTGATATTGCCATTGTCCTTTTATACTTTGCATGCATGCTTGTAAGAGCAGAAAAATCTCAAATGGGTTTCATCTGACTTCATACATGAGAGAAAATGAGAAAGAGGTGTTTGAACTGAATGCCTTCTATAGCCTAGCAACCTATTGGCTCAGGATGTAGAGAATCCATTGTGTTGGCGGAAAACCCATTGCCATCAGTGCCTAAACAGTTTGTGTTGAGGAGGAGGAAAGTCCCTTAGTTCCCACTGATAACTCAGAAGCTCATAATTTTACATGGGGACAAGGACAAAATACTTGAGTCTGGAATATATTTAGAATCAGTTTAATCACATGTGCCATGTGCTAAGAGAAACAAGCATTTTTTTTCCAATCTATGATTCTTGTTGCTGCCATTCACCTGTCGCCCCTTCTGTTGCCTCATCAAGTCACAGGTAGTCAAAAATTGGATGACAAAAATGGGAATTTGTAGTGAATGTTGACATTCAGAACAGCAAACTGGTGGGTCGAACAGCCCTCCTTTTACAAGTAGTTCCCCCACAAAATATTATTATCACTGCAAATGCAGGATCAGAAGTGACTTCCACACTAATGCCTGGTCTCCCCTCTTGCCTGCTGTACTGTCCAGGATGCATCACTGAGATGCTGTTTCCAGTGTGACTGTGTCCAGGGACCTCAAAGGAGGTCTATTCTTTTTCAGGGCCACTATGAATTTAATTAGGTTTACAAATGAACTTGTTTCATTTTATTTTTTTCCTGTATTCTTTTTTAATAAAATATAAGTTTTTTTTTTAAAGCTATCACACTGAAGTTGGACAAGACAGACCAAGAGAAGGTAAAGAGCCCAAGAGAAGGCACTAGAATCAGAGACCCACTCACTCACACACTCAGGAAACTCATAAAGATACTAAACTGAAAGCTATTTTATATATATATATGCACGCAGAGGACCTGGTGTGGATCCACACAGGCCCAGTGCATGCTGCCTCAGTCTCTGAGTTTACATGAGCTTTGCTCAGTTGACTTAGAGGGCCTTGTTCTCCTGGTGTCCTTCATTCCCTGTGGCTCCACCTCTTCTTCCACAGGGTTCCTTGCTCCCTGAAGGTAGGAGAGAAGTTCTTCAGTTGGTATCTTACAGTGTCAGTCGTCAGGAAGGACCCTACCTGTGGGCTCCCTCCTGCCGACTAGCCAGGCTGCCCCTTTACACCAGCACCTGCCTTCTTTGGCTCACCATGTCCTCTGTCTATTTCAGAATCTATAATAACTTGCCGGAAGTTAGAAAGAAAAGAGAAGAGCAGAAGAAAAGAGTGCTCTTACAGAGTAACAGACTCCGAGCAGAAGTCTTCAAAAAGGTAACTGCCTGGCACAGGTTCGAGGTGGGCGGTACACGGTGAATGATAGACTTGATATATTTGTTTCCCTTACTCCTCCAGCAATTACTGGACCAGCTCCTTCAAAGGAATGCAGTTTGATCCCAGGTGGCTCTGCTAGCCCAGCCTTGATCTGGGACACTTCTGGCGACTCTGGATGAACCATTAAATTTAACAGTATCTCCACACATGAAAGACACTTTTACTTTACTTCTGATTTTTTTCCCACGAAGGAAATGTCACTTTCTGAATGTCCCAAAGAAAAGCAACAGTTCTGCAGACAATAAATAGATCAGCAGTCCATTGCTGGGACTGGGACTTCAACCTCTTGGAACCTACCAGACTTAGACCCTTAATTTTTTTTTTTTTTGGAGTGGGGGGCTGTGAAGTTTACCTATTGCTTCTGAAGTTTCCATTATACCATTTCCACCCAAGCAGGAAAGCTTTACATATTCAAGTGTGCTTGGATGCTTGGGTTTTTTGGAGGGGGCATTTTTTTTTTCCAAAAATTTGAGAAGCAAAACTCTATCACATTTTAACTTCCAATCCCAACGGCTACCAGTTCTGAAATCTAAAGTCAAAGTTTGCGTTGTGCACACATCATGGAGTGCCAGAGGCTGACTTTGAGATGGACAGATGGAGAGGCGGAACACACAACAAGCAGGTGAGCCCTCTGCCTCTCTCCTGCCCCACCCACAGTGCCTGCCTTTGTTAGCCAGAGCACCTGTTTCAGTGGGAGCCAGGAGAATGACTGAGTAAAGCTGGCAGCGTCTTCACCACCCACGCACAGGAAGTTATCTTGACCAAATGGCCTAGCAGTACCCATTCTTATTTATTCTTTCAAGCACTCTTTCTAAATATGTATCTGTGGAGTTAACAAATTAGTTTTTGCAACCAACGTGGAAATAAAAGCAGTTATTTGAAATACAAGCATTTCTCTGTCCTGTATTCTGACCAGTAATGATAAAACCCGCTACAACCCCATGGCGACACTGTTTCTCCTTCACTTCTACCTCTGGCCATCATGAAAGTCCTTGTGTTTCTGATGCCCAGTGGGGAATGTCACCTCTTGGGAGCTGGTGCAAAGAAGCAGAGATGACTGCCCAGGCAGTGTGTAAAAGTCTCTAGTGAAGGTGTAGAGAGTGGTGCAGGAGCCCTGGTGACACCCCTGTCCCTGTCATCCATCCCCCACTGCTGCACATATCCCCTCCTTCTGGAGCACATTGTTTTTTTTTTATTTGTCAAACTTAAAATGTCTCCCCAAGGTCTCTCTCCTGGCACTGTTCTCTCTGCTATGCCCTTCAGCAGAGCCAGCGCCATCACTTTCTCTTTTTCTTCCTTTATTGCTTTATTTATTTGTAGATATCTGTCTCTGTGTGTATACACAAATATATGTGCTCACACGTTCAGATGCAAATGTATGTGGATACGTGTGTGTTTACTTGAGGAGGCCAGAGGACAATCTTAGGTTTCAGAGTTCAGGCAATATCCATTTAAAAAAATTATTATTTTTTGGATACTCACTTACTTGGATGTCTCACTTGACCTGGAACTTGCCAAATAGGGTAGGTTTACTCACCACTGAGGCCCAAAGGTCTACCTGTTCCAGCCTCTCTAGCACTGGACTATAGAATGGCATTAAAAACAGACAAACAAATAAGCCAGGCAGTGATCTTACACGCTTTGAATCCCAGCACTGGGTGGCAGAGGTGGACAGATCTCTGAGTTCAAGGTCAGCCTGGTCTACAGAATGAATTCTGGGACAGCCAAGGCTACACAGAGAAACCCCGTCTTGGAAAAACAAACAAACAAACAAACAACAAACAAGAAAAACCATAGGCTATGGCGGCCCAACACGATTTGGTGTACTTTCCCGTGCTTTTGGCAGGCCATCTCCAACAACTAGAATCTATACTTACTTTTTTATGCCTGCCCTGTTCAGAGGAAACAACCTGACAGAACCCTCAGAAGCAGAAACTCTGGGCTTCCACTGCTGTCCCTGGTCTGTGGCCTTGGACAGAGATGCCAGTCAACATCCAGCCAGGAGAGAAAACACATGGTAATCCAAGAATGCTTAATGTACTGAATTATTACCCGTATAGAGAATTGTCTAGTAAGAAGTGGAAGCAGCTCTGAAGAGCCCAAGTTGCCACATAATGGAGGTGAGTTGTAAGAATCAATGTGGCTCAGCAGATGACAGAAAATGTTTTGTACTGCCACACCCATAGAACTTGCTGAAAGCCACCCTCGGAAGCTTGCCATAAACCTGCCCTGGGGATGTACAAGGTTGAGTCCCTCTGCTACAGCAGCAGTCAAAGGGGGTAGGGGTAGGGTGAAGGGAAATGCATGCTTTGCAGGGCCTGGCCAGGGACCTTGCTGAGTTGTATCTCTCCAGCACCCCCTACTGACAAAGTTAAGCATTGTCCAGCCACCTAAGGGAGATTCAACAAAGGGCTAGGATCCATTTTAACTGAGCAGACAAAAAGGGTGGGAACAGGGGTGAAAGGGGAAAATACAGTAAAGACCTGGCACAGTTGGTTGTTTAACCTTGCCTCAGTTTCCCTAACTGCCAGATGCAAGTAAGCATAGTGCCTTCTTCATGCAGTTGCTATGGAAATAAAGTGGATGGGAGTGGAGTGTGTGGAAGAATGCCTGGCCCAAAGCAAACACACCATGAGTGTTTCCTGGCATGCACGGAGGTGGGAGGAGAAGTGCATGGGCCAGGAGTTGGTTGAGAGGGCTTAGCAGTGTGATGCTTCAAAAGGCCATTGTATGCTTAGCTTTACTGCAGCTGGCTAGTCCTGTAAGCAGGAAGTTTCATCATAAAGTCTGGTTGGGGGCTGGGACGGCTACTCCTTAGGTATATGGGTACTTTCCCAAGGCATGACATCCTGATTTTGTTCCCCAGAATCCACAGAATAGAAATGAGGGAGAGCCAACTCCACAGCTTGTCCTCTGGACCCCCTCATGTGTACCATGGCACATGCTTGCCCCCACACATATATACAGTGAATAAGAAAAATAAATGCAAGATGTTTTTGAAAAAGGTTGGTTGGTTTTAGGGTTTTTTTGAGATAAAGTTTAATGTAACCCAGGCTAGTTCTGAACTCTCTATGTAGCAGAAGCTGGCCTTGAACTCCTAATTGTCCTAATTCCCAAGCTCCTGGCTTCTTGTAAACTTCCACATTCCCTCCATGTTCCCATCACCTTGGGAACCATTGCAGAGCAGCTTACTTAGCAAAGTTGTGTTTGCTTTTTAAAATACTGTTAGGGCCTCTTCTAGGTACTCCAATGAATTCCTATGTACAGTTCAACAGCTTTTTGAAAAAAATACACACTTTAAGTCAATTCTATGATAGTTAAGGACAGACTCTCTTGGATGAAGATCCCGAGACAGCTGTCCTTACTTTTCTTTAGTATCTCCAGAGTATTTCCAAAGCTTTTCCCATGCATCTAAATTCAGGGCCCAGCTGTTTCCAGACTGTCCGGTGATACTTAAGGAGGTGGGTTTGTGTCGGCTGACATTGTAAAGAGAGAATACTAGATGGAGCCAACTTTTAAGAGTTCATAAAACACTCACCTTCACTGTAAACCTACTGCTGAGTCCTCAAATGTAAAGAAAGAAGAGCCAACTGCACATTAAATGGCACTGAAGAATGTTTTCAAGGGCGGTTCTTAACTAAGGGCTCAGAGAGGGGAACCACGTAGGAATATGGAGTGATGTCTGGTGTGAGGTAATATTCCCTCTGTTCTGGCTGGGACAAAGCAGAAAATCAACATTTGGTTTCCTGTTGAGCTTATTTTCTTATTGTAGAAATTATTTTAATGCTGACAAATGAATCGGGCACAGCGTGAGTTTCTCTTACATTGCGTAGTAATAACAGAAATGTATAATGTTAAAATCAGTATAGAAATCAAGGCCTATAAAATTAAAGCAACCATTTTTCCCTCCTCCCAGGAACTGGCCACCAATTGCTGAGTATTTTTCTTAAACTCAGACCTCAAGAAAGACTCTGTGGGATTTGAAAATTCTAACTAGACTTTGCCATCATAACTTCAACAAATTCTTCTCTGGCAGTGGTTTATTTGCGTCTGAAGATGTCTTGGGTCCAGAATGGAGCTGGCTTTTCAGAGATGCAGCATGCTGAGGGCTGAGGGGTTTCTGAGGAAAGATTCCTGAGTCTGTTTGAAATCCTTAGAGCCGCCCAGGTGGTAAGAGAATTGGGCCATCTCCCGGTGGTCCCCATGACTTCATGTGGAAGGAGCAATTCCTATTTGGGTTATGCATCCTGTCTGCCAGCTGGTAATGGAATAAGGGGAAAACAATTGTCTTGGCTCTTCAGCCAGCGTCTGTTGCCAACCCAACTTCCTGGAAGTTGTCAGTTCCCCTGGGTGAGTCAGCAAATACTTGCTCCAAGGAACAAGACTCTGAAAGAAAGATGTGTCCATGAGGCAGCCAATCATGTGAGAGAATGTGGATAATTCTCTGTCTCACAAAGTCCCTACCTTTCAACATTTACTGGCAAAAAAAAAAAAAAACAAAAACAAAAAACAAAAAAAAAAACCACAATGGACCTGGTCTCTGAGTGTGTCTGATGACCCACAGTCTGGGTATGAGGCACAGTGGATGCAGGGTAATAAGAAAGAGGAGGGGCAGGATGTGTCTGCCCAGGGAGGGTGATCTAATCATTGGTACATGAGAGTTCTGGGTCAAGCAACTAAGAATGTGGTAGAAAAAAATGACTTCTCTGGGTGGACAGGAATGCACTGTGTGCACTCTCAAAGGAAGTGAGCTGCTAAGTGATTACAGTGTGTCCATCAGCAGATGGTTCCACATGATAAGGTTCCTTGAATTTGTACTTTCATCAAAATTGCCCACAAATGTGTAGCCTTGTAGAAACCTTTGAAATCCGCCATCCTTGGCAGAAGCAGCCCGTTCCTGGGACTGAATCACTTTGGAAGTTCCTCTAGCTCTCTCTCTCTCTCTCTCTCTCTCTCTGTCAGCCTCTCTCTCTTTCTCTGTCTCTCTCTCTGTCTCTCTGTCTCTCTCTCTCTCTCTGTCTCTCTCTCTGTCTCTCTCTCTCTCTCTCTCTCTCTCTCCTTACTCTGTACAGTTGGGACAGGGCTGGCTCATCCTGGAAAAGCAGGCTATGCAACAGCTATTGGAGATTCTTTAAGGTTCCCCACTAACATCCTGTGGCTTGTTTTAGAGGGCCAAGATGCTCCACCAAGACAGACTTCTGTCTACAAGTCACATGGACTTGTAGTGACATGGACTATAGCAGTGACAACTTTGCAAGCCTCTCCAAAAGTCCAGAGCTTTTCTTCAAGTTGCAGCTGGTGTCTCAATTGAAGATTTGATCTGAGGTGCTCATTTGAGGTACTCATCAGACACAAAAATTCTAGTTTGTTCTCTTACCTCTGAAAAGGACAAGGTTCCTAGACACACTCTGAATGGCACTTGTCTGGCCACGGTGTAGCCGGAAATGTAACTTCAAGTAGTGTTTCTCCCAGATCTAAGTGTCTTAGACCCTGGGAGGAAAAGAACTGACTTGCTCAGAGCATCTCAAAAGAATGTAGCATTATTAGACAAACAAAGGAAACCTTTTAAAATTCTTAAAAGAAGAGGGTAAGAAGGTGACTCCTCACTCAGTAAACTGCTTGACATGCAATGATTGGATCTGAGTGCTTCCCACATGCAAAAGCTGAGCCCAACAGCACACACCTGCAATCCCAGTGCTGAGGTCAGAGAGACAGGAGGATCTCTGGGCCTCACTGACCAGCCAGTCTAGCCAAAACCATGAGCTCCAGGGTGGTGAGAGACCCTGCCTCAAAAACTAAGGTGGTGAACAATTGAAGAAGATACCCATTGTCAACCTCTGGCTTCACACATCCCCCACACACGTACACCTCTCCCTTCCCTCCCCCAC